CGACTGTTGAATGTATCGTAAAGTTGTATTCGGAAAGAATAAACCAGTTTTATTTAAGAAAGGACTTGTGTCGCTAAAGTTTCGTCGGAACGAATTTACATAAAATTAACTAACGAACAGAGACGTAACAGTATGTTTAGATAGTTTGTACATTACATATCATTGCTACTAGTAATTTATAATTCATTGTTTTATCTGAATATTTTTTCGTAATTGTTAACTGTATGCTTTATCATCCTCATTTTCGTTAGTGTAGGATTTAAATTTTTTTGCCTTGTTACATCACTGACTTGTTAATTTCTTTCTCATTTGTAGGGCTGAACTTGGCCTTGAGTTTGACTCCTTTTCCTACATTCGGGATACTAGAAACCTCATTTTCTCCTCGTAATTTACATTTCAGAGTTTTTCCCCACAGTGACCACTTCGTCAATAGTTATTTATTGCTGTAAACTGAGTTTTCCACCAGTTCAGGACCCTAATACTCAGACTCACCTCAGGTCTTTTGTCATGAATACAATCTCTTACCCAACATCTTCACTCTATGAATCTTTGCACTATTCTTTCTATGGATGACTGGCTCCTGCTTGCTTCCTCCCATTCACAGTCCAGAGACCACACTCCTCTGCTCCTACAGGAAGCAGCACAGATGGGATTCCTGATGACAGTGGGGAAGCCCATTCTTACCCCCTCTCAATTCCTCATTCATTTGGGGATTCCAACCTCAGTCGGGCCCAACCTTCTCCTATTTGTCTTCAAGTTTGGAGCAAACAGTTCATGCATCCCTCACCCCACTTTTCTTCAGCTCAAGATGTTTTATCTCTTTGGGATGTATGCTTCCTTGGAAGGTCTCATTCCCGTGGGTCAGGCTCATATGTGTTTCCTTCAATGGACATTTCTTGATCAGTGGAACATTTCATATCTCTGGCTTAGTAGTTAGACAGACCAGATCATGGCAGGGGTGCTGCTTACTCCACCTCGTCTGGATTTACATCTGTTCATGGACTTATGTTTAGAGGGTCAGAGTTCTTACCTCGACTCCTGGGAGATTTCTGGTCTCTAGTCGATCAAGGAGTCTTTTCTCCATATCACCTTTCTCTGGCCTTTGGCAGTTCATTGAGCTTTGTCCCACTTCCTTCCTCTTCTATGAAAGGGTGGGTGATTATGGAACATTCTGACATTTTCATAGTGGTAATATAGCCAGGGGTTAACAATTCCAGGTCTCTGTGCTTTCACACCCTGGATCTCTTTTCTGGGCACACAGTCACCACATTGTGGTCTTAGCTTGCCATTTTCCTGGCTCCCTGAATCTGTTGGTGGATCAATTAGCTTCTCTTCATGGAGTGGTTCTCATTTCACAGATGTCACCACGCGGTGTCTTCATGCATGGCTTTTGTCAGGTCTGTTGAATCAGACCAGGGACTGACTCCACGTGCTGCATCTTTCCCTTCCCAATCCATTCGACCTTTTATGCCCATTTACCACAGGCAATGATATTGTTACGTATCTGGTTGTTTCTTTGGTTTTGGTAGAAATTCTTTCTGAGGATCTTCAGCGACACAAGTCCTCTCTTTATTAAATCAGTTTATTCTTCTTCAATATAAACTTTTAGTACACAATAGTTCCACAATCAGTATGTTTCTCATCACTTTAAACTTAACAACTTTTATAATACATGCTATAAATCACAGCAATTCACAATCTCGATAACTTCGCTCTCAACGATTGCAAAACACACACTTTACGGCTCACTAACTCGAAACTAACAGAATCATAAATTACACGGGACTCAAAGTAACTACTGCCCTCTCTTCTTTCACATATTACCACTGGCTTTCTCTGCCAGGCTTATATACTAACGAAGAGGGCACCTCGAACACACGCAGACTTCCCTGATCATTCGAGAAACTCATCAGCGGAAGTCATGTGACTTGCGCTGTCGTAACAATATGAATATACCTTCTGCCTTTGGTTTCTTCGACATTGTTCCCACCCTTCTATTCCTCACTTTTCTTTATTCTTCACCTGGTTCTTTGACAAAGACTTGTACACCTCGACCATGTTTAGCTATCAGGCAGCCTTGTTGACTGCCTTCCATTTCTCCAACTTTCATCTGGTTTCGTCTTCCCCTGTCATTTCCCTCCCTTTTCCCACTCCTTTCGAGCCAGGCATCTTTGATTTGTTTGACTGGGGCCTTTATGCCTTTCCAATTCTCCATTTGAATCTTTGTTTTCAAGTACCATGTACCATCTCTCTCTCAAGACATTTTTCCTTCTCCTCCTAGCTTGCAGATGTCGTTAATCAGATATTTTTGGTTTTCCTGCTTCCTCTACCATTCCTCTGATTTCCTACTATATCCCAACCAGTCCTTCCTCCCTCAGACCTATGCTGCCTGTGAAGGCTGTTTAGTTTTCACATTCATTTTCTTAACTTCCATCTCCCACTGGGACTCCCATTTCAATCCTGATTTCCTTCTTTGTCTGGTTTGCTCCTTACAGCATTATGTGGTATATTTTGTCTCCTTATGGGGTTTAAATTCCCAACTTTTATTCCATGGAACCCTTTTGTTTCCTGTAATCTATTCTCTGTCATATTAATTGGTTGGGTTTTTCAACTTGTTAGGTTAGCATATTTGGATTTATCCATGGAAGGTTTTTGTCTCCACAACGTTTCTTCTCATCATATTCATTACATCACCTTATTTTTGGCTTCTTGCCTTAACTATTCATTAGAGGAGATCATCAATTCCTTTATCACTCATTATCTACATGATGTAGCTGTATCTTCCTCTGATGGATATCGTCTCCCTCCCATGGCGATTCTAGACATGTCAGTTGGCCTTTAACTGTGGTAAGTCTTATCAGTTCCTTTTATTTATGTTTTCTTTTCAGCAACCCTGGTTTTAACCACTACTATAAGGATCCCACTCTGTGGCAGGTGTTGCCTGGGCAGGTACACTTTACCTCAAACGTGCACTATTTATTATTTGCAAGATAACACTCACTGTAGAGATAGTTGAGTGAGTTATGATTTTATCTGTAATACTGGTTATAGGTTAATACTGGTTACCCTGTTCTTACGGTTGAGTTGAGGCAATGCCTTGACCCTGTAATGCTGGATTCAGTTTGTTGTACTTGTTCTTATGGTTGTTTTGGGAGTTTGTCTGGTTTTGAACAAAAGCTCGCTTCCTCTTCATAATTCTGGTTGTTTGACATATGGCACTCTGTTTACTTACAGTTGGGGTTGATGTGTACATATAACACGGTACACATGCCCTAGCCACACTGGTGATGTTACAATTTTTTTCATCTTCAACCTCCTAATACTGAGGATGAGTTATGGAACCTCATCTGTCCAGTTGAGTTTGTGAATGTACATAGCTAATTATGTTTATATTTTGCTACAGCTTGCTTCTCTCTTGGAACATATTACACTTGTGCACATAATTTCCTTTCATACCCATTTCGGATTAATTTCCTACTTCCTGGATGAAGAGCATACCTGTTCCACAAGTAGTGTGGGGGCAAGTGTGCTTCATTTTCATCTCCAAGCACACTCATTCATTCTGGGCAGTCACTTTCCACTTAGTTTCTTTGTTATGCTCCTAAACTGCCCCACCCCTTGCAAAAGTGGGATTCTAGCTTTGTGTGACAGGAGGCAAGACCATATCAAAAGTTATCATTTTTCTTACATGGTAAATGTATTTCAAACCCTTCCTCCCCATGGCCAATGTTCTCCTTTTAGGGCCCGCCAATTCTTGAAAGTGAGGACTGAGTGGGAATAGCAAGGAAGCTGGCTGTGCTAGTATAGGTGGCACAATGCTATTGGTGGAAAGTAGTCACATGATAAGTACATGTTCAGAAATGGTGCAAAACTGATGGCTATATAGACTGGTGCACTGATTTCAAAAATTTTTAGTAATGCTTAGAGGGCAGATGAAGATCGAGATAACTTTGTGTGAGAGGAGGTACAAAATATTTTCAGTGTAAGAAAAATGTTAACTTTTGTAGAGTTAGCTTTACTAATGTTCATTGGTAGTGATAGGCTTAAATTCACTGTAGGCTCTAACTTGTAACACTTTAACTTCAAGAAATAAAATGCTTTCATTAAATGGACTGGACTTTGTATTCTTCATTTTACTAAATAATCTAAAAGAACTCACTAAATAATAGAAGTGAGTAAAACAATATATTTGATATGTTAAGTTTGCATAGGTCTTTTAAATCAAAAATATGCTCTGATTGTAGTCATTTATCATCATTATGTGTCAAATTATACAAACAGCTCAGTCAAGTTACTGATAATCATAACTGAAGTCATAGAAGTAAGCTTCTGACATGTTTGCACAATTAGGAACATTTTTAATGTCTTCCATTCTATGACACTGGATACTGTCAATGTAATGGTCATTGACACATGAAACTGCAAGAGAACATCCTTTTAGCCTTGTGTCCATTCCTTTAGAAATATATAATTTATTGAGAGAACCCCCCCCCCCAGTAGTATAGCAGTAAGTCTGCAGACTTATAATGCTAGAAACTGGGTTTTGATACTCATGTTGAACACAGCACAGATTGTCC